GGGGCTAGGAGAGTGTTTCTAAGGAGCCCTCAAGGGGGTACCGAGGTCCAGAGTGGAGGCCCTTGGGTGGGCATGAGTTCCCCCAAGATCTCAGAAGCTTTGTGTCCAAGGTCTGTGTTCTCAGAATCTTAGAACCCAGAATCTGAGGGACCAGAGTGGCCGTCAGCTCTTCCTGGGGGCAGGTGCTTTCTCCATCCCAGGCACCTTAATCCTGCGTTGAATGTTGTAGAAAACTAATCAGTGCCCGGGCAGAAGAGGGTACCTGGTGAGGGCTCCTGGCCTTTGTGGGTCAGGGACCCGTTGGGGAATGTGCTGAAAGCTATAGGCCCCTTGAGCAGGTAGCCAGGGACGTAGGTGCCGAAGACCTCCACCACCAGTCGGTAGAGGTTGTAGCCCTCCAGGCCCATCCAGGAGAGGCAGGCGAGCAGGGAGAAAATGTACTCACAGGACCCTCAGAAAATGTACTCACAGGACCGCAGTCTGCTCAGTCTGGGGAGGGGGTTCACAGACCCTTGAGGCCCCCCCACGGACCACGGGCTCATGGAAGGGGCACACCAAGGTAGCACTGACCTGTCTCGTGGACCCAGGTGGCCTCCGTGGAGGTGGATGCCGTGCACAAGCACTACCTGACCCTCCTGTCCTACGTGGGCTGTGTCATCTCTGCCCTGGCCTGCGTCTTCACCATCGCCGCCTACCTCTTCTCCAGGTAGGACTGGGGAGGGCGGCAGAGGGGAGGGAGGCCCGTTTCAGGCCCCCAGGCCAGGACCCACCACCATGGAGATCTGCCCTGGAGATGGGTATGGTGGTGGGAGCCGTGAGAGGTGCTGGCTGCTGGCCCCTGGGCACCGCCTTCCCTCCTCAGATCTGTGGTGTGTGGGTAACAGCATTTCCCCCTGACTTTGGGAGCATCTGGTGGGTTGCAGTGGCTGATTTGTCTATTTTGCTGTCTGGCTAAGGCTGCTGTTAAATGCACATAGTAGGTGCACAGGGACAAGTGGGGAATGGCTTGGCTGCAGTCAGAAATCTGTGTGTGTGTGAGGTTGTTTGTGTGTGTGTAGTCTGGGAAGGCTGCCTGGAGGAGGAGGAGCAGGTACTCCCTCCCTCCTTCCCACACTGGTCACAGGATAACCATTCCTCTTGTCCCCCCCTCACCCCCCATGCAGGAGGAAGTCTCGGGATTACACCATCAAGGTGCACATGAACCTGCTGCTGGCTGTCTTCCTGCTGGATGTGAGCTTCCTGCTCAGTGAGCCGGTGGCCCTGACAGGCTCCGAGGCTGGCTGCCGCGCCAGCGCCATCTTCCTACACTTCTCCCTGCTCGCCTGCCTCTCCTGGATGGGCCTGGAGGGCTACAACCTCTACCGACTGGTGGTGGAGGTCTTCGGCACCTACGTCCCTGGCTACCTGCTCAAGCTGAGCATCGTGGGCTGGGGTAAGTCGGTGCAGGGTGTTGGTGGGCCCCCAGACCTGCCCTGGCTTCTGGCCAAACCAGGCACCTGGCTGTGCTTCTCCACCCAGCTCTCTGGCGGCTTCCTCACTGCTTCCCTCCCCCTCCCCCATCCTCAGGCCTCACCAGAAGGCAGGGGAGGGGTGAGCCTCACAGGGTGGGAGATGGAGCTTCACCCTTTGCTGTCCACAGGCTTCCCCGCCTTCCTGGTGACCTTGGTGGCACTGGTGGACATTAACAACTACGGCTCCATCATCCTGTCTGTGCAAAGGACTCCAGAGAGTGTCATCTATCCTTCCATGTGAGTGGCTGTGTGTGGTGGGGGCAGGAGTTTGGGCCTCGGAGTGCTTCACCTTTGTACCATCTATATTATTACTTGCTTTAATATTTTCCTTTAAATCATCTAACTGTTGATTTAAAGATATATTTTTTTAAAATTATCAACTACAAATCGGAAGCCAGCATCACTGTCAGACACAGCGAGTAATCATACAGACAAACACGGGGACGAGGAAGCCCTGGTCCCAAATGCTGGCTGATGGCTGTGAGCCGGAGGCCGGCTCTTTGTTGAAAAGGGAGACTAGCAAGAGTAAGAGGCAATAAAAACATATCAGCACCCAACGGAGTGCTCCCGAGAAGGCATAAAGGAGATTTGAGGACAGAGTGACTTTTCACCCCATGAGCCCCTGGTGTTTAAAGCAGTTCCCCTGCACCCCACTGGGCCCCCCAGCCCGGCACTGAGCCCCCACCCTGGTCCGCAGGTGCTGGATCCGGGATTCCCTGGTCAGCCACATCACCAACCTGGGCCTCTTCAGCCTGGTGTTTCTGTTCAACGCGGCCATGCTGGCCACGATGGTGGTGCAGATGCTGCGGCTGCACCCGCACACCCAGAAGTGGCCCCACGTGCTGACGCTGCTGGGCCTCAGCCTGGTCCTCGGCCTGCCCTGGGCCCTGGTCTTCTTCTCCTTTGCTTCCGGCACCTTCCAGCTGGTCGTCCTCTACTTCTTCAGCATCATGACCTCCTTCCAAGGTAGGCGTGGCCTGGTGTCGTGGGTGACCGCGGGGTCACGTCGGTGCCGGGAGCCTGTGTCCAGAGGAGGGCAGAGGGCAGGGGGCAGATCTGAGTCGAGGTGACTCTGGGAGGGAGACGTTGGGGGGATGCTGCCGCCCGCCAGCTGAGCCCCGTGTCCCTCGCCGCCCACAGGCTTCCTCATCTTCCTCTGGTACTGGTCCATGCGGCTGCAGGCCCAGGGCGGGCCCTCCCCTCTGAAGAGCAGCTCGGACAGCACCCGGCTCCCCATCACCTCGGGCAGCACCTCGTCCAGCTGCATCTAGGTCGCCAGCCCGCCACCTGGTGTGAGGGAGTGGCGATGCGGCCTCGCACCACGGCCGGCGCCCCTGCCGCCGGCCCCGGGACCTCAGGGGGCTGGAGCTGTCGCATGGCGGCCGGACTCTGGGGCTGGGCCTTCTGAAGTGGCCCTCGGACCACCTGGCTCTTGGGCTCCCTCTCAAGGGGCTCACGAGTGGGACCATCCTCCTGGCCGCCCTCGCCTGGGGCTGAAGGCCGGGCTGAACTCGCCCGCCCTGGGCTCAGCCCTCGTGGCTGGGGGTCGGGAACCGCCGGCCCCGGAGTCGGATCGTGGACCTTGGAGGCCTGGCAGAGGCTTTGGCCTTGTGTCTCTGCCCAGGACGGAAGTGGGCCGTGGCTATCCTGTTTCTGGTGACCACCAGGAGGGCACTCTGCAGCCTCTGTCATTTTAACCCAAGGGTGGCACCCAGGGTGAAAGGGATTGGGGCCGAGCTTCAGACTTCGGCAGGAGGAGACTCCTACCTCCACCCCTACCAGCAGCAGCTGCCCTGCCGCTGAGCTCAGGGCTTTGTGCTCTGTCAGCTTCCCAACCCACCCTCTCCCCTCCCCTGTCCTCCACTCACAGCCCAGGGTCCCCAATTCTAATGGTGTATTTTGGGTCGTGGTTCCCCAGAGCTGCCCTGTGCCTGCTGTAAACCTTTACCTACTGCCCGGGCCTTTGCAGGCCCCTGACTCAGGCTTAGGATAGGTGTTCTGGGCTAGTTCCGTTTGTCCACCGGGGCCTCTCTATAAGCTGCATCACCCTCGTTCACTGCCAAGCCCATACCTCTCGGGGGATCTCAGCTGCCCCCAAGGCCCGCTGGTGGCAGAAACCGTGGCACATGGTGGAGTAAGTCTGTTTCCACCCCAGCACGCTGCAGACAGAGGCGTATCTCAGCTGGTGACACCAGCCTAGAGCCCATCGCAGTTCACTCTGCTGGACACAGAGGGTCAGACCTGGTCACCACCACCCCCACCCCCACCCCTGTGACCTCCTAGCCAGTGTGTGAGGTGCGCACGAGACCAGAGCTCCTGGAGCTACAGGCATGGGGTCAGGGGAGCCATCTGCCTGGCGGGAAATCCAGGAAGACTTCCTGCAGGAGGCAGCATTGGATCTGCATCTCAGCCTTAGCGATGGGGAGGATTTTCTTTGTAGTTACTAATTCATTTGCCTTTGATATTAAAAAGGAAGTGATATTCATTGTAGAGAATTTGGAAAGCGTAGAAGAGTGTAAAGAAGAAAATAAAGGTCTGCTGTTGTCGTCACCTAACAAATGGATGTAAACATTTTGGGGCGCTGCCCCCGAGTTTTCTTCTCTACTTCTGTTAAAAGTCACTGATTGGGAAACGTGAATGAGAGAAGAGGACTATGTGTGTGTGTGGGGGGGGGGCGTGGGGGGGGCGACAAAACAAAACACCTACTGGACAAGGGGAAGGATGAATGGCAACTGGGTGTCAGTGTTGGGAGGCAGTGGGGAGCGGTGGGGTCTGTGGTGAACTGGACATGACAAACCCACACCGAGGGGCTCATCTCCAGCCGGTCACTGCCTCGCAGGGACGAGAGCCTGTGTAGCCAGACCACCTGCCTTTGATGAGAAACGAGAAATCCACCTTATGGTGGTGTCAAATCCCTGGATTTTAAAATGGTGGCCGATCCAAAAAAATTCGCTGGCCCAGGGAATCACACTTGAGGGCTGAATTCAGCTCTCGGCTGGTCCGCGTGGTGCGTGTCACCAGTTTCTGGACCAGCTGTGAGGTACTGGGGCTGCAAGGATGAAATGACTGAACGATTCTCCCATCACCCACCGTCTCCAGCCTTGCGCGGCCAAATCTGCCCACCCCATCCCGTGACACAGGTGAGGCAGGTCAAACACTCTGTCCGCGTGAGTTCTGGGAGCAGTCGTGTTGGATGGTTGCTATTCGTGCCCCGGCCTCCAAGGACGGTGCAGGTCCGCCAAGGTCCGCCTCCGAGCTTTCTGCCCTCCGCGGTCTCCTCCCTCCGCTCCCAGCTGCCCTGGGAGGTGTGTGTGAGGTGTGCCTGGGACCCTCTGAGGATTTGGGTGCCCGGACGAGTCTCCGGGGGGGGGGGGGGGCTCAGCAGGTAACAATTCACAGAGCCCTTGTCCACGGCCGGGGACCTGGGGTGGGAAGGCCGGCAGGCTGCTGGGTGGGGAGGGGGGGCAGGCCCAGTGGCTCCCATCTGTCCTCCCAGAGGACACGCCTGGGGCCCCATGCCAGATTTCTGCCTGCCACCACACCCCACAAGTGACCCCGACATGCCCTCCCCAGCCCTCCTCAGGCCCAGAGGGTCCAGCTGGGGACCGAGTCCTGTCCAGACGCCATGTGGGAGGAAGTGGAAATAGAGGTCAGTCGGGGCTGGGCGGGTCCCCATGAGGCACCCAAAGCAGAGCAGGTCTGGCTCTGGCCTGAGCTGGAGGGGAGACTGATCACATGCACCTTCTTGGCGGGGTGCCCTTTACCTTCTGATCTCAAAGTGGCGGTGGACCCATGCCAAGGGCCTTGGCCTCATCCGCAGGCTTCCTTGGGGCCACCAGAGTTGGGGACGAAGTGGCCAGCCCCTCCCTTCCTTCATGCCTGACCCCATGTGTGTTTGCTGCCCCGACTTCCTGCCTGGGCCACCGGATCATGGGACAGTCAGACAATGATAGAGATGATAATGGCCATGCCAAATGACCAAACAATTCACTGGCATCATCTCATGAGATCCCCACGCGCCTCTGAGAGGCTCAGAGTAACGGACAGCTCAGGAAAGCCAGGAAGTGGCCAGGACAGACATCAGCCCAGGCCTGGCCAATCCCCAGAGCCCATGCTCCGGTCCCCGCCCCCTCCCGGCCTGCCTCTCTTGGTGAGAAAGGGCCCGGACCCCTGGGCTGGCTCCCTCTCTTCTCCCAGCCCCCAGCAGGCATGGATTTGAGCCTGGCTTTGTTCGAACCATAGGTACCATAGGCGTGAGCAAGAGAGCACAAGTTCCATCCACGTTGAGCCTCATCCCTGTAGCCAGGCTGTGTGCCCGCGTGTATGGGCCTCCTCAAACTCTGACCCGGTCCTGGGAGGCAGCCCATAGCCGTTTGCTTTACAGAGGAGGAGACAGAGGCTCAGAGAGGCCCCCAGCTTGTGAGAGGAAGGTCTGAGCTGGGTGTGCCTGACTCCAAAGCCCGTGCTCACCACCACTCCCCAGTGGCCGGCTCTTGGGAGGCCTCTGTGACCACTGGGCCGCAGCCCCACCGCACCCTCTGAGGCAAGGCCAGGAGCGCGTCCCCGGTGGGTTCAGCAGCTCCTGCCCAGTCGGGCTCCCTCTGCAGGTGGTCACAGAATGGGGTGAGACGGGAGCACTGCCCAGTTCCCCACACCTTTCACAACCCAACCGATGGCGCCATGGAGCAGGAAGGATTACAAAGAGGCCACAGGAAGCTCTGACGCTGCGGGGGAGGGTGGGGGCAGGAGGGTTCTGCAGAGCCTGGGACCAGAGGACACACGGCCACAGGGCTCCCTCCAGAGTGGACAAGGCTGGCCAAGGATGGTGCCGCCCAGGGCCCTGGGGGCACTGCTTCTCTTGCTCCTCCTGCTCCTGGCCTCAGGTGAGCGACTGGCTCCTCATGCCCTCCTGCCAAGCCCGGAGATCCCATGCCAGGGGCAAGGGTGGGTAGGGAGGGGGCTTGAGTTAGATGCCATCCTGGAAAACTTTGGTTCTCCGGGCCTCAGGTCGGTGCCCTGGGGATGGAGGGAGCATGGAGAGTGCTCCCCACTATGCCACCTGCACTATGGCTCCCTGGCAGGCCTGGCCCTGGGACACAGGTGGGCTCTGGGACATGGGTGGACCTGGGACATAGATGGGCTCTAGGACATGGGTGGGCCTGGGACACAGTTGGGCCCTGGACAAGCTCTTCTCCAGCTGGCCTCTGAGCTCTGGGAAGTGGCAGGGGAGCTGTAGAGCCTGAGGCCTGGCAGGGCTTACACTGCCCTCCCACCACCCTCCTCCGGCCCGCCTCCCTGTCCCCACAATGGCCCCACAGTCCTCGGGCACCCAAACCAGGAACAAGACTCGTCCCGCCCGCCTCACTCGGCCTTGCACACATGTGGCCGTTGTCCAGGGGCAGTTTGGAAACCCCAGGCCTTGTCCTTGCTGGTCCCTTTCCCAGGAAAGCTGTGCTCCAGCCCCTGCCCACCTGGCCAGCTCTCATTCATTTCCCTGCTGCTCTGGGAAGCCCGTGGTGATCCCTCAGGCAGAGGGGGGAAAAACCTACTGCGGGAGCTTTATCTGGACAAGGGGGAGGCAACTTGGTGTCGGTGCTGGGGAGGCAGTGGGGAGCGGTGGGGTCTGTGGTGAACTGGACTTGACAAACCCACACCGAGGGGGCAGCTGCTGCTCATCTCCAGCGGTCACTGCCTTGCAGGGATGAGAGCCCGTGCAGCCAGACCACCTGCCTTTGATGAGAAATGAACACCTACAATGGGTTATGTCCTTTATGATCTCTAATCTCCCTGCAAAACCCATTGGCCTCATTTGACTGATGAGAAGATTAAGCCTCAGAGGGATTAAGTAACTTGTCTGAGGCCACACAGCTTGCATGTGACCCAAAGCTTCCTCTCCAGCCCCTGTCCCAGGTGAAAGGGAACGGAACTGGAAGTCATGGAAGCTGGTTGCTAGTCCTGGAGCTATCTCCAGCTAGCTGGTGACCTTGCCCCAGTCACTATGCTACAGGGGGCCTCCGTTTGCTGTATCCCCTACTCCAGGAGGTCGCCATGAGGGTTGTAATGGAAATGGGGGAGAATGAGGCAAACCAAGACCAATACATTCATAAGGCCACAGTTGCAAGGGCTTTGGAAAGTCTGATGTAAAACAACTGCAAAAAGCCAGGCAGACTTCCTGGACGAGGTGCAAAAGGGTACTATCACTAACATATTAAACCTTTTATCTACAGAGCCACATGCCCAAGCCCCCCATTTGTACACACTTTCTCCAAAGCATCCCACTGGCCCTGTAAGAAGGAGTGGGGGAGGGGGGGATGGAGTGAGGGGGAAGGGGAAGGGTCCTTTCACCTTGGACCCGAGGCCCAGGGAAGGTATGATCCAGCTCCAGTGCACACTGTCAGTGTGAATGGGCGGAGCTGGGGTTCCAGCCCATACCACAGACCCTGGAGCCCTTGCTGCCCCTTCACACTCTGCGTCCCTCCCTTAGGTGAGAAAGATTTCAAGAACAAATCTGAGCAAACAGCACAGTATGAGGAGCCCAGGAACGTCTGCCTGGGGCTTGTCAATAAGGACCATTACGATCCCTTTGAGCTGATGAGCACTGCAAAGTGCTTCAACAACTGCGCGCAGCTGGGGAGCGCCTCCTGTCATCTGGGTAACTTGCAGAGGTAACAAGGCTCTCTGAGCGGAAGCAGGGATCTGGGGTTCCTGCAGGGGTGGGGAGGAGGGACGGGACGGAGCTATCAGCCCCCACGACCCCAGAAAATGCTGCTCCCATCTCGCCCTTCCACCTTGTTGTTGGACACGCATATCTCTCTGACCCTGAGACGCCTCTGACTCAGTGGATACAGAGATAAATCGGCCCCCGTCCCTGCCATTGGGAGTTGTGAAGGGACAGACACAGGCCCAAACGGTGATGACTCCAGAGTGTGGTCCTACAGAAGGGGGAACAAGGGACCAGGTTAGCTCAAAGGAAAAATATCTGCCAAAGCTTCCTAGAGGAGGGAACCCAGGAAAGGGCTTTGAAGGTTGCATAGGAGTTTTCCAGTTGCACCCAAACAATGTTAGGAGATACGGGCAACCGAACTTCAGGGAGTATTGAGGAAGAACACCAGTGCTTTGAACTGTGAAAGAATAACGTGCTGGCGATGGAAGTAACAATGGGGAGGTGGGGCGGGTTGGGGATAGAACTGAAAATATAAGTCGGGACCAAAATATGAAGGGTTGTATAAGCTACACCAATGTGAGAAGGGGCGGGCCACTGCTGTATTTTATTTTTTAATATATTTCTATTGATTTCAGGGTGGAAGGGAGAGGGAGAGAGAGATAGAAACATCAATGATGAGAGAGAATCATTGATTGGCTGCCTCCTGCACGTTGGACCGAGTCGCAACCCAGGCGTGTGCCCTTGACCGGAATAGAACCCGGGACAACTTTGGTCCGCAGGCTAACGCTCTTTCCACTGAGCCAAACCAGCTAGGGCTGTATGTATGTCTTGTCTTTTTATTTCCCTAATGATATCTTTTGAAGATCCAAACGTTTACTTTGAATGAAGCCCGGTGTAAATTGTGTGTGTGTGTTTGCTGTCATATCAAAGACATTTCCTCTAGCCCAAGGTGGCAAGGATTTTCTCCTAAGTTTTCTTCTACAAGTATATGGTTCTAGCTCTTATAATTAGGTTGTGCATTTGGAGTTACGTTTTTGTGTACAGTGTGAGGTAAATGTCTAACTTTACATTATTATTATTACTACTACCTTTACATGTGGATATCTAATGTTTTGGCACCATTTATTGAAAAGACGATGCTTTCTCCACTGAGTTGCTTTTGGAGGGCATTCCATTGAAGAGCTAAGTGGAGCCTTAGCCGGTTTGGCTCAGTGGATAGAGCGTCAGCCTGTGACCAAAGGGTCCTGGTTTGATTCCAGTCAAGGATATGTATTTTGGCTGCAGGCTCCTCCCCGGCCCAGACCCTGGGCAGGGCGTGTGCAGGAGGCAACCAATCAATGTGTTTCTCTCACATCGATGTTGATGTTTCTCTCCATCTTTCCCTCTCCAACTCTCTCTTAAAAAAAAAAAAAATCAATGGAAAAATATCCTCGGGTGAGGATTAACAACAAAATAACCCCCCCTCCCCCCGCAAATCAAACAATGAAAGAGTTCAGGGGAAGCTCCTGGAATGTCTTCTCCCAAGCTGGTAAACCAGAAACGAAGCTACATCCCTGCAGAGAGTAATGCCCCTGTGACAGATTTGAAAGAAGCAGGGGTGGCGATACCTGTTCCATCTCCATTGAGCTCTCCGGAGTCAGGCTGGTCTCGGAGGATGGCTGTGGACCAGCGTGAACGTAACCGCATGGCGAGTCCAATGACAGCTGCTGTCCCAGACGGATGTGTTCACTCGAACAAATCAACACAGCCCCTGGCAATGGGTACCCAGCTATTACCCGGCGGATACTTTTTCCTCCGTACCAGTTCGCAAGGACCTGGCAGAGCCAACAGTGTTCTGTCGCGATGTTTCCTCGGGACTGTGTCAGTTCCCCGCTCCTTGCTGTCATCATGTGCTTCACAGAGACCTTATTGATCTTGACATTCAGCAAAGCATCCCTAGTCTGCATTATGCCGATTAGATTTGAGGAGCAGAAAGCGACACGTACTTAAGATGCCCGAGGAAGACATAAGTGAACTAGAGGATGGGAGATAAAGCCCACAAGAATTCAGGGGCCCATCATCTCATTGCATTTTCTGGGCATTCGCATGTCTGGAGAATGGCAAGATGTCCCCTCCAACGTAAAAGGCGAGTTGTTTAATGTCACACCACTTAACCATGAAAAAACAACCACCAGCAGGCACAATGTGGAAAGATAGGTATTCGGCAAACATGAAACTAAAGGAATCTAAGTAGCTATACTAGTATCAGGCAGGCAAGATGGTACTTAAGTGGGTGTCGATGTTGTCATTAAAAATTCATTGGTATAGCGAGGCTTTAGACTTTTTGAAAATGTTACATTTCACACCTAAAATAATTTTTTAAGTGCTCTGAGAAGCAGATGAGGAAATATTTCCCTGAGAAAGCAAATGGGGCTGTTTTAGGAGGCCACGGAATTTTTTTTAAGTGCATGAGGTGAAACATATAATGAAATACAATTCACGATTTTATTCGGTAATCATGACTATCACGATACTTCTTTTTAAAAATATTTTTATTGATTTCAGAGAGGAAGGAAGAAGGAGAGAGAGATAGAAACATCAATGATGAGAGAGAATCATTGACCGGCTGCCTCTTGCACGCCCCCCCTCTGGGGATCAAGCCTGCAACCTGGGCATGTGCTCTTGACCGGAATCGAACCTGGGACCCTTTAGTCTGCAGGCTAACGCTCTATCCACTGAGCCAAACAGGCCAGGGCCTCAATACTTCTTTGTTTCCATTTTTAAAAGGTAAACAGAAGCTAGACTCAATTGATGTGGTTCAATCAATGGATTTGGACAGCCTCGCCCCACTGCCTCTGGCTTGATGGTGTTCTAATTGCCTGCTACACTCAAGCACATTTGCACATCTCTGCCTGGCTTACTCTTTACATTACACAATATTTTTTCTGTGGTTTCTTGGTTTTTGCCTTGGTAACGGTGAGCGTTCAAAAATGATGTCAAAATAAGAGCCTCCTTTTGTGTTCCTGGCGAGCCCTCCATAGCTACTCCTTTCCAACAGCCTTGATCTGGCTGTATCTGCCCCCCACCCCATGCCTCCCTTCCCATTGCTGTCTCAGGCCTAGCCCGAGCAGCAGATCTTAAGACCCTAGGTTTAAGAAAAACAACCACCTGGCGTGCATGGAAGTTTCAGTACCACGGAGAGCGCCGCAGCCTGGCCTCGCCTTGCTGTTTTAGCGGAGGCCAGGGAGCTGTGGTAAAGTAAATGCCAATTAACTTCTATGTTCTGTGAGGTTCGACAGCAGCTCAGCTCCCATAGGTCAGTTTCCACACAGCTCCGTCCTCAACGACCGAATTCCCGGTATGCAGTGGGTACTCAATAGATGCGAGGAGGCGCTCACCCACGCCGCGCAATTACCATCGCGCTGTTTAAAAGGCTCAGAGGAATTCCTCCAAAGCAGATATGCGAAGACCAGCACGCATAGAAAAAGATGCTCAACATCATTGCACATCAGGGAAATGCAAATTAAAACCGCAATGAGATGCCACTTTATACCTACAATGAAGAGCAAAATGAAAATAAGTATTGGCAAGGACATGAGGAAATGGGAGCATACCTCGTTGGCGGGAATGTAAAATGGTGCAGGCTGTGGAAAACAGCCTGACAATTCCTCAGAAAGTTAAGCAAAGCTTTACCACCGACTTCACTCCTAGGTTTGTACCCAAAAGGACGGAAAACAAATCCTCAAACAAAAGCTTGTCTGTGAATGTTCATAGCAGCCCTAGTCACAATAACCCAAGCATGGAAACGATCCAAATGTCCATCAATGGGTAAATGGATAAACAAAATGTGATCTATCCATACAATGAGATATTATTCGCCCATAAAAAAGGAATGAAATACTTGTACAAGCTGCAATATGGATGACCCTTGAAGACATGATGCTAAGTAAAAAAAAGCCAGGCACAAAAGGTCAGGTGCCATATAATTCCATTTATATAAAATATTGAGAATTGGCAAATGTATACAGAAACCAGATTAATGGTTGCCAGGGGCTAGGGGAGGAGGGAAGAGAATGACTGCTTGAAGGGTATGGGATGATGCTTTGTACACCTTAGAAAAATATTTTTATTGATTTCAGAGAGGAAGGGAGAGAGAGAGAGAGAGAGAGAGAGAGAGAGAGAGAGAGAGGGAGAATGAATGATGATGATGATGATGAGAGAATCATTGATCGGCTGCTTCCTGCATGCCCTATTCCGGAAATCAAGCCCACAACCTGGACATGTGCCCTGACTGGGAATCAAACCGTGACCTTCTGGCTCATAGGTCCACGTACACTTTAAAGTAGTGAAAATGATACATTTTATGTTATATGGAAGTTTTTACAAAAAGACAAACACGTGAAATACTCAGAGGGACTGCTGGCTGGAATCCCTCAGACAAGCTTGGGCTGTTCCCTCGCCACCCCTCTTCTCGGTGCTCCCAGGGTCTTCCCGCTGCTATTCGGAGTCACCCCTCCCGCCCCAAGAGCCTGATGATCATGGCCCATGGTCTCTCTCCTCCCTTCATCCAGGTTGGGGGCCAGGTGAGTGGGGGGCTCAGCTGGCAAGGCCCCACATTGCCCCTGCCCCCGGCCCCTTGCAGATACTGGTTGGACTACGAGACCTATCTGGTGGAGAGGAGTCTGAGGGGGATGGTGGATTTGCCTTTTCTGAAGGCTTTTGTCAAGAACGTCAGCACCAGCATCGCAGAAGACCTGCACTTCTCTCTGAACCTCTCTCAGGTGAAGCGTCCCCGCCCCTGCTGGCTGGCTCTGGCCGGTTTCCTCAGGCATGGCTTTCGGAATTCTGGGGGAGTCACGGTCTGGGCTTGGTGCCCAGCAAAACCTAGCCCTCCTGTGTCCCGGCAGGGCCCCTCCGACTTGCTAATGGGCGCTGGTGAGTTAAGTGGATGAGCGGGTCCTGGTAACAGATTGTCCAGATTTCTAGGACGAGACCCCTGGGAGGTCTCCTTGTTACTCCCATTCTCCGGATTGGGAAAACTGAGGCCCCGTGAGTGTCCAGGGGCTCACAGCCTGAACAGAGCAGAGCTTGGGCTGTGCCCCCAGGTGTCCTGCCTCTCAGAGCGGAAGTCCTCAGGTGCCGCCTCTCCACCGGGTGTGCCTCAGTTTCCCTCCCCCCTGGGGGAGTGGCAGGACCTGTGTTGGGGGCTGGAATCCTTGGGTCAAGAAGGAGCCACTGGGTCTGTGGTTACAGATTCCGGGGCAGATGACGGAGGACAAGCACCAGTTCCCCGCCAGAGTCCGGCTGCCCAGGAGCCTGTTCGCCTCCCTGCAGGGCAGCAGGCCGGTGGTCCCCTTGGCCGTATCTGTGCTGGACGTCGGCCCGGGGAACCTCTTCAAGGTGAGACGCTGGATGGAGGGCAGGGCAGCTCTGAGGCTCCCCAGGCAATGCTTGTCTTCTGGGGGGTCTTCCTCGAGGAACCCCCTGGCGATGGAGAAGGCGAAGAGCCTCAGCAGCTCACGGCCACCCAGACCGGTCTCTAGAGCCTGTGGCTTTCAGACTCACACTGGCCCACACACTCAGATATTCGGACCCCACATACCAGTGACCTTGGACTGTATGTGTATCCCAAGTGTGCCCGTGTCCCTGTGGGTCCCTGTGCATGCACACACATGCATGTCTTTCCTATTCCTGGTACACACACAGTCCACATGAGCGAGTGTGCCTGTACCCATGCAGGTGTGTCCCATGCGTGTCCCAGAGGCATATATGTGCTCCCAAGCAGACGTGTGCATGCCCAGTGCTGGTGTGGCCAGGGCCTTCAGTAGTGGGGTACTTACCCCCGTAGGCACCCACCGCCCCCATTTCTGGGCTGATGTTTCTCCTGGCCCCGTGCCCCTCCAGTTAAGAGGCAGAGGAGTCTGGAGGCCAGGTGTGAAGAGTGCCTGGCTTTGTGACCAGCCCGAGCAGGAGGCCATAGGGAGCAACAGGGAGGATGTCACCCCTGACTCCTTGGTCCTCTGGCCCCTGGTCCAGACTTTGCCCTCCAGACAAGGACCATGGGTCCTGGAGGCTCCCAGGAACCCTGCCACGGCTGAGTTGAGACAGCCCTTCTGCAGCCTGGCCCCCCATCTCCCCTCCACAGGGCCCCCAGCTCAGCCTGGAGGACGAGGGCAGCGTGGTGAACAACCGCCTGGTGGGCTTGAGTTTGGGCCGGATGCGTGTCACGGCGCTGCCGGAGCCTGTGGAGATCAACTTCTCGCACCCACGCCAGCCTCCGGTGAGCTCCCACCCAGGCCGGCAGTGACGCAGGGGCAGACAGGCAGGTGGGCACCCCTGGGCACACGGACAGACAAGCACAGGACTCCGCACCGTCCGCCCTCCACATCCACCCAGGAGAAGCCGTTAGGACCGCACACACAATTGTGCCCAGGGGATGCGTGCCCACCCTGTGTGCGGATGCCCACATGCCTCCGGAACCCTCCCAGTCACGTGCTCACAGAGGTGCACACAGGACCTGGCACACCCACATGCATGCACACGGCATTACACACCCACCCACAGACATGCAACCTTCCCACCCACCTCCCGTCAGCATACCCAGGCCCCTCATGTGCCGATCCAGGGGCCATCAACGGTGTGGCCTGCGTTCCTCTGTGACCACCATGCTCCCGTGTGAGCCTTGCACACACATGCTAGGAGGAGGGAGCATGCGGTCCTCCCCCTCCCCTCCCATGCCCTTCTCTCCCCTCTCCCAGCCTCCCCCTGCCTCTCTCCTGACTCCCATTCTCTGGTTTCAGAACATGACCCTCACCTGTGTATTCTGGGATGTGACTAAAGGTAAGGCCTGGAGGACCTCCTCTGGGTGAGACAGGTGGCGGGAATATGGACTCCCTTTGGGGTGCAGGGCTCTACCCACAGGGCCCCTCCCCTCTTTGCCCTCCTCTTTGTTCCCCTCCCCCCTCTCTGATCCCTCCTCTTCCTTCTCCCCTCCCTCCCCTCCTGATGGTCCTCTCCCCTCCTCTCCAGGGTCAACAGGAGACTGGTCTTCGGAGGGCTGCTCCACGGAGCCCGGAGCGCAGGCGACAGTCTGCCGCTGTGACCACCTGACCTTCTTCGCCCTGCTGCTGGTAACGCCCTCCCCACCCCCAGCACATCAGAAGGGGCCCAGACTCCTGTCCTGGGAGGGGCCATGGCCTTTGGGGGTAGGTGGGCCTGGCCGCCAGCTGATGGGGTCCTGGTTGGGGGTGTTGCCCACAGAGGCCGACCCTGGACAAGGCCACTGCGCAGGTCCTCGTGCGAATCTCCCAGGTTGGCTGTGGCGCCTCCATGGTTTTCCTGGCCTTCACCATTGTCTTCTACGTGGCCCTGAGGTGGGTGACCCATCCCCACTCCCTCCTGTCCTCAAAGGCAGCACACGGTGCCGGGCCAAAGGCACCCTGGTCGTGCAAAATCATATTGACATCCTCTCCAAACCTTTAGTGTCCTCATCCGTAAAATAGGGCCGGAGGTTGCCATGTGCTGGGTCATTTCAGTTACAAGTGGCAGAGACTCAAAGCCCATGGCTTACACATCCCAGGGAGTGTGGGGGCCCGGTAATGGAAAGACCCCAGTGAGCTCACGGCAGGTGCGGTTCGATCCAGGACCAGGTCCCTGGGAGTCGGTCTCCCTCTGCTTCTCATACTTAGCTCTCTCCTTTGTCAATCGTCCCCGGCAGCTTCTCCACCCCCAGGGGCCTCCGGGAGCCCAGGCTTGCATCACAGGCTCTCAGCTGTCCTGACGGTTAACATCGTGCACGGAGCCCCAGAACTGAAGTCTTTCAAATATTTTTAAACAATTATGTAGCCCGCCCGGCGTGGCTCAGTGGTTGAGTGTTGATGTATGAACCAGGAGGTCAGGGCTCGATTCCCGGTCAGGACACAAGCCCAGGTGGCGAGCTCGATCCCCCAATGGGGGGCGTGCAGGAGGCAGCCGACCAATGGTTCTCTCTCATCGTTGATGTTTCTCTCTCTCTCCCTCTCTCCCTTCTGCTCTGAAATCAATAAAAATACATTTACAAATAAATAAATAATTATAGACTAGCAGGAAGTGGTGAACACAGCACCTAGAGTCCCCTGCTTTCTTCACCCAGCTTTCCCCAAAGATGGCATTTTCTATCCTCCTAGTACCATTTCAAAACCAGGCAAGGACAGCAGGATGCATCCAGGGAATGGCAAGTTACGCCGTTGGGCTGAAGCATCGAGTTGAGGGAGGGAGGAGACCGGCAGGATCCGGGTGGCCATGGGAGGGCTCCTGGGCCGGAACCGGAGGGCCCTCACTCTGGCCGCGGCAGGGGCGGAACAGAGGAGGCGGGGAGGAGAGGCCCGGTGATGCTGCGGCCCTTGCAGCCCCTTGCTGGCCCTCCCCCCCCACCCCCCAGGTTCTCCTGGAAGAGGTTCAAGTCAGAAGATGCCCCTAAGATCCACGTGGCCCTGAGCGTCAGCCTGTTTCTCGTGAACCTGGCCTTCTTCATCGATGTGGGGCATGGCCCACAGGGGCCCCATGCTGCCTGCGTGGCCCGGGGGGCCATCTTCCACTACTTCCTGCTCTGTGTCTTCACCTGGATGGTCCTGGAATCCTTCCACCTCTACCTGCTCGTCATCAGGGTCTTCAACACCTACTTCGGGCACTACTTCCTGAAGCTGAGCCTCGTGGGCTGGGGTAGGTGTGGGTGGGCTGGGGTAGGTGTGGCCGGGCTGGGGAAGGTGTGGCCGGGCGGGGGGGGGGGGGGGGTGGGCTGACCGGGGGAGGTGTGGCCGGGCCGGGCAGAGGGACTGGCTCCGGGATGTGCGTTCCAGCAATGCCGTGCCTCCTCCCCCGCCCAGGCCTGCCAGTCCTCATGGTCATCGGCACCTGGAGTGCCAGCAGCTATGGCCTCTACACCATCCAAGACCAGGACAACAGGACCTCACTGGAGCTGTGAGTGGTGGCTGTGGGGGTAGGAGTGACGCTGGGTCCCTGGCTGCACATATGGAGGCCAGAGGGAGGTGGGGAGAGGAGGGACCCAGGAAGTCAAGGCGAAGGATCCTCCTATCCGCAGGGGTAAACTGAGGCCTGGAGAGAGGATATGCAGTGTTCGAGGGGTCCTGAGAAGGAGGAGAGAGACCCAGAGCAGGAGGCGGGATGCCTTGCTCTGGCCTGGTCCACCACCAGTCCATCTGGCACTTGGGGACATGTTTTTTTTATTGATTTTTTACAGAGAGGAAGGGAGAGAGATAGAGAGTTAGAAACATCGATGAGAGAGAAACATCGATCAGCTGCCTCCTGCACACCCCCTACTGGGGATGTGCCCGCAACCAAGGTACATGCCCTTGACCGGAATCGAACCTGGGACCCTTCAGTCCACAGGCTGATGCTCTATCACTGAGCCACACCGGTTAGGGCTGGGGACATGTTTTTAAAAGTGCCCCCTACCCCCAATCTGACAGGCCAGGCACTCAGCTGGATTTCAGCCCCCACCTGTCCCCTCAGCCAGGTGCCCTTGCTCAGGGCACAACCTGCTCACATATCCCCAGCAGCTCTGGTCCTATCTAGGCTCTGCCTCTGCATTGCTGTGTGACTTTGGGCAAGCTCGTCCTCTCTCTGGGCCTCAGTCTCCTCATCTGTACAATGGGGTGGAGGGCTGACAGACATGCTCTTTTGGACTTTCACCCCTACAGTGCAGGGAGCAGTGGGGCAGAGCCAAGCCCCTCCCAGGGCGTCTGTCTTGGGCCCATGGCTCTGTGCTAAGAGGGGCTGGTCATGTCCCCTGGACTCAAATGCAGGGGCCACAGGGTAGACCATAAGTTAAGTGCATGTGGCAGCCGGCGGGGTGGGGGCGGGGGGGCTGCATTAGACTGGCAGTCACACACCGTCTAATGGGCAGCTGCCAGGCATGTGTGCTGTTGTTTGTGTTTTGTTGTTGTTTTTTTGAGTGTGTGGTGTATTTTTTATTGTTTAAAGTATTACATGTGTCTCCTTTTCCCCCGATCCCCGCCCCCCCCCCCCCCCGCCCCAGGCATGTGGTTTTACAACAGAAGCAGAAATCTGGGTGCTTATGCCAAACCTCCTACTTTTTAAACGATGGTCATTAATTCATTTTTTTTTTACAACATCATGTGGGGCATATCTTTTCTACAACATATCTTTGGGGCCCAATTGACCCTTTTGCACCCACTAGTCTAAAGAGACAGCAGAACCCTAGCCGGTTTGGCTCAGTGGATAGAGTGCTGGCCTGTGGACTCAAGGGACCCAGGTTCGATTCCGGTCAAGGGCACAGAGGGAGGCGTGCAGGCGGCAGCTGATCAATGATTCTCTCTCATCACGGATGTTCTATCTCTCTCTCCTTCTCCTTTCCTCTCTGAAATCGATAAAAATATATTTAAAAATGAAAATAAAATAAAAAAGAGACACCAGACCGGAACCTCCCAGAGCCCCTCCCCCAGGAGAGGGGGTGGCTGGGTGGAGACGGGAAGGGCGTCTTCTTGGTCGCTGAAGGTCAGTCTGGGGAGACAGCCCAGGGCTCGCTGGTCAGCAGGACCTGGCCCCGTCCCAATGGCCACCCACCTCCCCCAGGTGCTGGTTCCAGGAGAAAACTGCCCTCTACGCCACCGTCCACGGCTACTTCCTCGTCACCTTCCTCTTCAGCGCAGTGGTGCTGGGCCTGCTGGCCTGGAAGATCTTCACTCTGTCGAGTGCCACGGCCGGCAAGGAGCAGCGGCAGCACTGGAAGGGGGTCCTCACCTTGCTGGGCCTCTCGAGCCTGGTGGGCATGACCTGGGGGCTGGCCATCCTCACGCCGCTGGGGCTGTCCACCATCTACATCTTCGCACTGTTCAACTCCTTACAAGGTGAGGCTCCTGGGCCCGGGAGGTGGCGGCTGCCCCGTCTGCACCCGGGGCGGGAGGTGGGGATGGGAGGCAGGGAGAGAGTGGTTGGCAGGAAACAGGATTCCATGAGGCCAGCTCAGGTCAGGGCTGCTGACTGTAAATATCGGACCCAGGCCTCTCCCCAGACCCTCGGGGCAGAAAGGCTGGCTGGCCTCAGGGGAGCTGCTGCCAGGCTCAGGAAAAGCCCTCCAAACCAAAGCAGAGATTTTCTCCATCTTTTTCTCTGGAGCCACCATGCATCCTCTCACCTTCTTCTCTCTCCGCTGGCCCGTTCCTACCCGTGGCCCCCAATATAGTCACCTCAACCCAGGAGGACCTGCCAAGTCTAGTGACGACGGTCTGATTAGGTCTCTTCCAGTTCTTAGGAGTGTCAAGGATCTGATGGGGCCACCTTAGACAGATAGAAACATCAATGATGAGAGAGATTCATGGATTGGTGGCCTCCTGCACGCCCCACACTGAGGATGGAACCCGGGCATGTGCCCCCACCAGGAATCGAACCGTGACCTCCTGGTTCATAGGTTGATGCTCAACCACCGAGCCACGCTGGCTGGGCACCCTTCATATTTAAACCTGAACTCCAAGATGCCTTTTTGATTCTTTTTCCGGTTTCATTTTTGCCCCATTTCCCCATAAATTCTTGAACTTTTACTATGGTGCTATTTCTCTTCTGGGCAGCTGCCGCCAGGCCGCCCAGCACCCTGTCCCCACCCCCACCCCCTCACTCCGGGCTCCCCCCTGCCCTCTCCTCCTCAGGTGTCTTCATCTTCTGCTGGTTCACCGTCCTCTACTTCCCGAGCCAGACCACCGTGTCCTCCTCCTCCGGCACCGCCCGGGCTGAGCAGACCCACACGGCGTCGCAATGACAGGACTCGGCTCTGACCCACTGTGTGCACCTGGACAGCTCCCGGCCTCCCTCTGGGCCTCCGTCTCCACGTCTGTACAGTGTGGCTGGGGAGGGAGGGAGAGGGACGGGGCAACCACATGATCTCAGAGGTCCCACCCAGATCGGCTCTGGTATCAGAATCCCCCAATCCAGGACTGCAGGGGTTCAAGGTTCCCATAACCCTGAGCCTCCTACCAGCACAGAACAGCACCCTCACCCCTGCTGCTCTGCACACCCCCACCCTCCACCCCACCCCACTCCACCCCACCCCTGCCTTCATAGAGAAGCAGCCTATCTCTGCCATTGCCCACCGTCTGGTCTCAGTAAGAGGAGAGTCTGTTGCTGGCACGGCCCCTCCAAGGAGCCCAGCCTCCCCTTCCTCCCTGTTGTCACTGCCTCTCTACCCGCTGGCTTCCCTGCTCGTGGTGAGGGGGCATTGAGGAGGCGTCAGCCCCTCAGGCACCAGGTCGTTGTGAACTGGAGGTTTGTTTGGGGGCTTGGGCCAGTCCCACCATGGCCTATTATCACAGAAGAACCCCCACCATTTGGGGGGCTGCCAGGACACTGACATTCAGAGAATGCCACTCATTGGGTGACACCCCCAGCAAGGCCCCTGTTCTCATTCTGACTGCCATGTGGGTGGCTTGACCTCTGATCTGCTGCCATGGTAGGGGTCACCGTGAGGGTCATAGTGGGCTGGAGGTCCAAGGCAGGGGAGGGGGCTGGGCTGAGCAGAGAGAGGGAGCACATCCCCCAGCCTCCCCCCCCCCCCCCGCCCCCTGCACACCCCACCGGGAATCTGAGCACCTACAGCTACAGAGCAGGCGCTTTGCCAGCCTCACTAGCCCGTCAGCCCAGCCCTGGTGCGTCTGGGCCCTGAGCAAATATCCGCCGCCTAGTAAGTGGATGTGTGAGCTCGGCAGCAGCCTGACAGCCCTGAGCCAGGGGTGTGTCCCAGGCCAGACCCTGCTTCCAGCAGCTGGACCTCTGGGTCACAAGCAACCGCATGCTGTTTCCTCCATAGGAAACAAAAGGAGGCAGATAATAGAGATGGAGGAAGAGATAGAGAGATAGAGCTAGAGAGAGAATTAACAGATGAGCTGATGCAAAGGGAGAGATCAGAGAGGGACAGATGGAGAGAGACACAGCCCGCCTCCCCACACACCCACTTCCCCAGCCTGCGGACAGGAGGGCAGAGCCCTGGGACGGTCCCCCTCCCGAAGCCCCATCTCCACCATCACGTTCCGCTCCAGCCTGGTTTACTAACCAGCGGGGAATCGCACCCCTCCCCACCCACACCCTGCCCAGGGGGCTTTGCAGCTGGTCAGGCACATTCTACAGATGAGAAGTTAGTCCAATGAGACCCTCCCCATGGCCCCGGGGCTGCCGGCCTGCCAGATGCCAAGTCGGGACCAGCAACAGATGAAAGACAGGAAGGGGGGGCCCTATTTTAAGCAAGTCACCATGTTCCTGGAAGGGAAATCCTGGGGTGTGGACATCACAGCAGCTGAGCCACAGGCTTCGGTTTGGTGCACACACTTGGTGGGGCTGGGGATTTATCCTCACAGACCTATGATTCTCATGCCAAGGATCTCAGCTCCCTCCCCCCAACGCCTCGGAGTTGCCAACCTGCGCTGAGGAAGAGCAGAGGGACACCAGGGTCTGAGGGCCTGGGTTCAAATCCCGCCTCTGCTACGAAGGGGCCGCATGTCACCGCGCCTCTCTGAGCCCGCTTCCCGCTCCTAAAATTGAGATCGAGTCCTTGCCTCGTCCTGAGAGCACTAAGTGAGGTGACAAAGTCAAGTGCCCCGCACGATTCAGGGGGATGTAGTTGGTTCCCCGAGACCCCCTTCCTTGGCTTGAAGAGAAGCCAGGTGGAGCCCTTGTGTAAAGCCTGTATATGAACTAGGAGGTCCGGGGTCCAGGTGTGAAGGTTAAGGCTCCTTCCAGATTCCTTCTCAGCTCTGTCAAGTGCACAGCCCCGTGTGGGGACAAGGCATGGAGGCCCTGAGGCCCACCAACCTGCCAAGGACCAGTTCCTCATCCACCGAACCTGTAAGGCAGGGGTGGCAGCAGCTGCCCCACAGGGTTGATGAAGGATTAAATGAGACATTGGCTGAGAGGGCTGCCTGGTACCCGGCCCGCCTGGTCCCTCAGGAATGTGACTGGGCCAGAACTTGGCCTTGGCCATCACCTTATCAGGCCCTGGGCTGCAGGGCTCATCGGGGTGCTGCAGGATGGGCCCCCCTCTCCATCACCACCATGGCTCCCTGATTCTCTCCACTCTACCCCAATTTATTTACTCCTAGTATGTTTTTATTACAATGTAACAAATATACAGGAAATTAGAAGACCTACTTATTCTGTGCTCTCTGATAGATAATATCAAAAGACAAAAATTATTCACAAATTAATCTAGGAATACAATGCAACTTCAATAAAGATTCCAAATGATTCTTTAAGACTTTTAAAAAGTTTTATTCTAAAATTTATATGGAGGCATTTAGGCCTTACATAGCTACCTCAACATATGTGAAAGAGGGCATAGAAGGAAGACTTGAACTACAGATTCTTTAAGAAATTATTACAAGACCATAATGATAAATCCAATATGGGGTTTGTGCAGGGATAGGCATGAAGACCAGTGGAACAGAATAGAGGGCTCAGTGGCAGACTCATGTACACTTAGGAGACATAATACATGACTAAAGTGGCATCACCAAGAAGGATGAACGATACGATGATGGCTTTGGGAAGTTGGCTCATTATATGGAGAAAAATAAGACAGAATCTCTCCCTAACCCCTCAGAATTTGGACTAGGCTGGCTGACCCCAGGGGTGGGCTTCAGGCAGATTCAAGGTCTACATGGAATGCCAAAATTATGACGTTTTAATGTAGGAACATATTTTGCAACCGAAGGGCAAAGAAGGACTTCTCAAGCAGAAATTCATAAGCACAAAACATCAGACTCAAACCTGGCAAATTTAATCACATCAAAGTTAAGGTTTTCTGCTTAAAGAAGGACACCCAGGGATATATTAGAAGACACGGGACAGAATACGGGAAGGTATTTGCAACATCAAAAACCAGAGAGGGCCAAAACCGGTTTAGCTCGGTGGATAGAGCGTCGGCCTGCGGACTGAAGGGTCCCAGGTTCGATTCCGGTCAAGGGCATGTACCTTGGTTGCGGGCACATCCCCAGTAGGAGGTGTGCAGGAGGCAGCTGGTCGATGTTTCTCTCTCATCGATGTTTCTAACTCTCTATCCCTCTCCCTTCCTCTCTGTAAAAAATCAATAAAAAAAAAAAAAAAAAAAAATATATATATATATATATATATATATATATATATATATATATATAAAAAACCAGAGAGGAACATCTGGAAGTCCTGCCAATCAGAAGAAGGACGTCCCCAGTAAAGAGAAATGGGCTGATGTCTTAAGGGACGATTCAAGAGAAGGAAACACCTAAAACGAACACATTAGTACATCAAGACACGTTTAAAAGCACGAGAGACACACACATTAGTACATCAAGACACGTTTAAAAGCACGAGAGACACACGTTTAATAGGGATACCGGAAACTGGCAAACGTTAGGAAGCCAGATAATACCAACCGCTGGCAGGCGCGAGGGTTCTAGGCTCCCTCACGCATTGCAAAAGGTGGGGAGAGGGTAGGTTTCAACTGCCTGGAGAAAAAACGGGGTGCTGCTGCTCTCCCAGGTCTTAAAGGGACAGGCCCACGGCCTGTGTGGCACTGTCGGTTGTGGGAGGGAGTTGGTCCGTCCCTGTGAGAGCAGGGAGGTTATTCACGTGGATCCGTGCCGTGGACACACAGCAGCACAGATGGGTCTTGAACAAAGTGAAAATAAAAGAAACAGGAGGTCTGAATGCAATATTACTTACACAAATTAAGAACAGCAGCGTGCAAAGCAATGCTCATTTGGGTGGAAAGAAAAACACCCACCAGAAAGGGTGCCTTTAGGGAGCAGGGAATGGGAGTAGGTGTAGGGATAAACGGAAGTCAATAAATTTACAAAGGAAATGAGATGGTGCATGGGGGGAAGGAGAAAGAAGCGTATCTATGTTCCATCCACCAGCCCAACACGTCACTGGCTTCCCGCCTCCTCGTCCCTCCTGCCTTCACCCCGGTGAGCTGCCCACAGAGCTAATCGCGGGGTGCGCACCAGGACTCAAGTCCGCACGCGGTCTCGTGAGCTTCCCCTCCGCCTAATTTATCCTTCGCACGTTATTTCCCATGACTGCATACTGTTCCAGCTGGAAGAAAAGAATCCTCCTTTACTGTTGAGAATTGAGGTCAGCCCTACCTTTCAACCAGTAACAGCAACTATACACCCTTGTCAGGACAGCTGCAGTGTCTCCCCAGTATTTCACCCCCGAACCTCCACAGGGCCGCAGTGTGACTTTTGTGGGTCCCTTTTTCTCCAAAAACAGAAACGGGAAACGTTTTAACCATGGCTGTGCTTTTCAACTGGCTCGCCAACATTCCTGAAATGTTAATGATCAGCTCTTCCGAGCTGGCATAGGCTGGTTCCAGCACACCGCTGGCCAAGGAACCTGCAGCCCAGGGCTTCCGGGCCGGACCTGGGTAGTGACAGAAGACTACATTTCCCAGAAGCCTCCTCTCCCAGGAAGGCCCTCCGCTTCAGAAAGCCGTTACTATGGAGACAGACTAAACAGATAGTACAGGCTGTCCTAGGAGGGTGAGAGGGGAGTAGGGGACTGAGGGTGGCTGGACCCTGCCTGGCAGGGAGGGTGGGGGAAGGTGCTGGTGGTAAAGGGGCTTCTTCAGCCCTGACCTCTCTGGGGAAGTTTTCACTGTGTGTGTGGGGGGGGGGGGGGGGGGGGGGGGGGAGGGGCGGGGGCGGGGGGTGGAGGCAGGAGGGGGTGGTGTTGGGGAAGAAGAGGTTTCTTCTGGGGAGGGTGTAGAAAATGATGTGTGGGATGGGGGACGCTTCTGGGCCTCGGGGCAGGGTCCAGGGCACTTTGAGGCCGGAATGCCCTCTCCAAACTGCACTGTGGCTGGCGAGGCGGCCTGATATGGGGAAGGAAGTACTACCGGTTCTGATCCAGCTCTGCCTCTGATGACAGTGTTCTCTGACCGTGGGCTCAGGCCCCTTCTTAGCTCCTGCTCTAGCTGTAAGCCCCTGCTGCCCACCGACACCTTGGCCCTTTCCGCATCCTGCTTCTTTCTTTACTTACCATTCTCCCCGGCCCCCCACGCCCCCCCCTCGCCTC